TTGGCCCAGCTATGGGGATCCCATGGGAACATTGAGGGTCATGCATACATAGTTTGGTGGACTACAGGGATTGGCTGCAACTGTAAAGGAAGAAATCCCATCTTGGCTGTTCCTGCTGGCCTGTATAGGTGGGCTGCACACAAGGGAAGCCTGGGAAGGTGGCCCTAAGGGGGAAAACAGGTTTCAGAACACAACACCAGTTACATTCTACCCCACAGATGCATTTGGTTGCTTGCCAATGTCCAGGTCTCCTTCCTTAGGTAATTGCTAAATACCCCCAGTACATGTCATAAGAAATCTCTCTGAACTTATGTCAACACTGCAGTCAGAAGTGGGACTGCACCATATGTAGATGTACTCACCTTAGCTTTGAACTAACTCACTCAACTAACGTCAGTGAAGCTGCAGTAGCACGGGCTATCCATTTACATACATACTCAGGGTCCTGTGTGGGCTTGTACAGCCTGTGCTGCCGTGGCTTCACTACAATGGTTAGCTAGCTGGGGTATGTCTACATGTGCTGCAGTCACACACCTCCGATTGCGGTGTAGACATGACCTAAGAGATGTAACAAATTGTTTAAGTGTGACCGTGATGAGAAAGTGACTCAGCATATGTGCTCCCTGCAGTCACACTGGCTGAGTTTACTGACCAAAACAAGAAACTCCACCCAGCCCTAGAGTCTATGCAGCTTGGGCGTTGAGATGGAGTAGCCTCTGCCTCCCACAGCATCAGGAGAATCCCCAGTGTGATTCTCACTGCTGACTCTTTGCTAGTGCTGGTAGGGTCCAAAGCAGGTGGGGCACCACTTGGTGGTGTGGATGGCAGAGCAAGATTGCACTGCCGGCAGTTAGAAGTATCAGACCGGATTCCCCTCTCTGTAATACAAATTTTATGCCAGTGTGAATTCACTGAGGTCAATGGAGTTACAGTGGCATACAATTGGTGTCACTGAGTGGACAATCAGACCCATTCTTTTTTGACTTGTAAAGTGAGGTCATGGAATCCAGAACCACTAGATGGAAATACACCAGGTCACTTCACAGAGTCACTTGCCTGTCTATAGCCACAGTTTGACGGTTTTCAAGCTATTTGACAATTCAGTTCATGTGGCACAATGCATTTCAGCTGCAGATGCTGCGAGTGTGTGAGGTTCTTCAGCATCTGGCCCAAAGAGGTGTAGGTGGATGGGAACACCCACAACGAGACATGCAGCAGTTCCCCCTCTCAGTGACAAAGCCCAGCTTCCCTCTGGAAAGTGACTCTACTAGCCAGATTCCTCAATGATCCAATGTGAATTAGGTGACCCAGTTCACTGGCTCATCCATGGCAAGCATGGGGAAACCTACAACCTCAACAAACAAATGACTCATTGATAGAGGAGCATGTCTTGTTGCCCCCTAAAGACACTGCAGCAAAAGCGGAACCAAGAAAGGCCCCAGGGACTTCCCAGATGCTAGGACTTTCTCATCTCTTTGTTATGGCTCAAAGCCAGCCAATAACTCAGATCTGAAATACCTTTGTGAGTATTGAAAGCTAAAATTCCTCAGGCATTTTGAGGGGTTCATTTCAAACTGTTCAGTTAATTTTTAAAACACAAGTAACACTCGATATAGAACTCAGGAATATTCAAATACCTAGGCAGTGAACAAAGAGAGATTTAAGATGGGTCCTGAAAGAACAATGTCCTGCCTGCTCTTCATAGATGTTACAGATGCCAAAACACTTTTTGCCCAGATCACCTTGACCAAAATTTCCCCTCCGCTATTGCCATGCAATGCGCTGTAGGCCAGTAGCTTTCTGTTCTCCAACCTAGAGGTGGCTGCATTTCAATGCAATCATATCTCTAGGACCAAATCCTGCACTCCTTGTTTAGCTCTTACTCGAGCATAAATCCCACTGGAGTCAACTGGAGTTTGGCCTAGTCCAGAAGCCTGAAGGCTGGAGCCCATAGTAAGTGTGAGGCTTTGGAATGAAAGGCACTATAGCAGAAACCTGTTAAACTCTTCGAACATCTTCAGTGGATTACACCGAGGGACAAAGGATGAGCCCTTTATCCTCCCCTCCAGTGACTCCACTCTCTCCCTGTCCAGTGCATTGGGCCCTATACAGCCTTGCACCACAGCACCTTTGCAGGAGATGCATCAAACCCCTATGCTGGCACCAGCGTAGTGATGGATCTAGCCCCCCTGCTTCCCCCTTTGCCCCCATTTTTTAGTGCTCCGTGTTATGAAGCTGTATGGATTTTCCAGTCAGCGAGGAGTGTCAGGCCAGGGCTGCATCTTGCCCTATGCCTAGGAGACTTGATGTGCAGCAATTTACAGGAAACCTCTGGTGCGCATGCAGCCTGTGGTTCTGTGCTTCCTGCCAAGTGTGAGCTAGTTTGTAGTTCTCTGCCTTTGCCGCTGGTGACAGGCAGCACTCGGAGGCTGGGGTGAGAACAGAGGCCCCGTAGACTGCTGTTTTAGAAAAACCAACTGCATCACAACTTGCTAACTTAATTGGGAAACGTACTTCACCCAGAGGTTGAGCCCCAGCCCTCAGCAGCTCAGGAGAGGACACTGCAATCAAGCACAGATCTCCCATGTGGCAGCATGAAGAACTCACTGCTGGTAGGATAGTTGGCCAAACCCAACAGCACTCCTAGCCCCTGTACCAAGAGACCAGGGTATCAGACTCAGCTCTCCTGCACGACCAAGCACTGAGAGCCACTGGGGTGGTTTTGCTTGCACACTTAGCATCATGCAACCCAGGGAGCGAGAGAGTCAGATTGGACTTGAAGCAGGCTCTTCCTCATGGTCGAGCACAGCACTAACATTTTGTATACACAGGGCACTTCTATGGCACTCCCAGGTCCCATCTTCCCAGGCAGTAAGTATGTTAGTGGGGTCTCTCCCCATGGCAGTGGACAGCCTTCACCAGCCACTGGAGCCAACTCAAACCTCACCTTGCAATTACCTTGATTTTTTGCAATCACCCTGAGAGAGAAAGTGACAGGAGAGGGGAGATTGAGGGATAACATGCTCATAAAGCAAATGCTACAGCTACTTGTCATTTTGACCCCAAAATTGCACTAGGCATCAGGGATGGGCACAGAGGGTCCCCCCCTTCCCCAATCACTGGGGATGTAGGATGGGCACAGAATGAACCTTTCACCCACCTTGTGGCCCAGTTCTCCCCATTCAAGATCTCCCCCACTGACATCACGTGATAAATGGCGATCAAGGATGAATGCAACATGGACCTTTCATTTACTCTGGTGGACAGGAACGGGCATAGCTAAACCTCTTGAGCTCCAGGACAGGAACAGTATGCCCCCTCAGGACACAGGCTGGGCCCACAATGGGGAGCTGGGTTGGACACAGAGTACCCCCACGCTGTCCCTGCTGGCCGTGGATACCCAAGGGGGCATAGAGTTGAGCATGACAGTGTCATTCTGTGCTGTGGCCACTGGGGCTCACACATCTTCTTTTGCCGCCTATTGATAAGTATGTGAAATCCAGATAGCCAAACGCCAGGAGCAGCACAAGCTAAAGCCCCATCATCCACTCTCTAATCTTTATTTATGCAGTACTAGGCTGATATCTCATATACAAAATAGAGTACAAGCCATTTAAAAAAATAAACCTTAAATTAGTCAAACCATTAGCACACACTGCAGAAAGCTGGGCCTGGCATGAGTAATATTTCCATCCAGATGGACTAGCTTCTGAGGAAAAAGCAAAGTACAACAACTGGCCCCTTGGTGGGACATGCAGGGGCCTCCTTCCCCACATGTCTCTTCCCTGCACCTGGCAGGTCATAAATGAGCACATTTGTGGAGAGAAATAAGGATACACCTTTTAACGCCACAGAAATACATTGGAGACTCGGAGCCTGAAAGAACTACCATACATTCATCTACCTTACGTGGCACCAGTAGCAAGCTCCAGCCAGTGCTATTGAGAATGGCTCTCACGTCTCCGTCCCTGCCCCTTGCTCAGTGTGCTGTCATCAGCACCAGAGGAGCTGCTTTAACTAGCCAGACAATACAGTGAATAAAATAGAAACATGGGGCCTCTGCTGACCCAGCTGATCAACCTGCGAATCAGAGAAGTCATGAGACTCGCCAAAGGTGAGAGGCACGGACAACTCGTGCCTCCTGATGCTGGGGGGCCATAATCTAAAGGGGAGGAAACATGACAGCCCCACATGTCTCCTCTGCCCAGCGACCCCCCGGCCCTGCGCCCAGCCTGCAGTCGCCATGCTCTCCCTTCCCCACCAGAGTTAGCTGGGGGTGGGTGGGCTCTGCCCTTCTCCTGCTGCACCTCCCCATGGCACATTTGGCCACTCTCCCTGGGGAGCGGGACAGAGCCACTTTGCGGGTCGCTGTTCTGTGTGGCAGGGCAGCTGCCGGAGAGAGAGCCCGGCTGGAGAGGTGACCGCGGCAGCAGCTCGCTCCCCGCCTGGGCCTGGCTACCGTGGACAGGGGCCGAGCAAGCCGGAAATGTGCCCTGGGCGGGGGGCGGGGGAGAGGGGGAGGAAAGAGGGAACTCTGTCTCGCTTGGCCCCTGTCCCTGTCTGCTGGGCCCAGGTGGGGAATAGGCTGCCACCACCACCTCCCCAGCCAGGCTCTCTCTCTCCGGCAGTGGCTGTGCTGCACAGAGCAGTGACCCGGAGCAGTCGGTGTGAGAAGTGACTGGTCTCCTCCCCTTCCCTCCCCACCCAGTCCCGGCTGCCAGGGACAGAGGCGGAGCATGCCGGGGGGGCAGGCCCATCAGGAGGAGGACAAAGCCTTTCTCCCTCCTCCCTGCAGTCCAAGCAGAAATCTGCGGGGTGGGTGGCGGGGCACTTGCCCCTGCATGCCCCCCCCATATGTTGCCTATGAATCAGCAAGAATGTCTTTCCTAGTACACCAGGGGTTCTCAAACTTTTGTACTGGTGACCCCTTTCACATAGCAAGCCTCTGAGTGCAACCCTCCCCTTATAAATATATAAAAATGTGTTTTTAATGTAACACCGTTATAAATGCTGGAGGCAAAGCGGTGTTTGGGGTGAAGGCTGACAGCTCGTGATCCCCCATGTAATAACCTTGCGACCCTCTGAGGGGTCCCGACCCCCAGTTTGAGAACCCCTGCACTACACCCAGTGTCCCAGAGACATGTGGTGCTGACTGCAGACCAGCCGAGCATGTCCTCCTTTGTCAAAGAAAGAATTACTGGAACCGCTGGGTCCCCTGGCCTGTGTCAATACAAGGCTATTTGCTTTCAGAATGCTGATGCAGGTGTCAGATGGATTACGTGGTGTTGCCCTAAACCAAGTCCTTCACAGAAATGGAGCAAACGAGGCCTCCTAAATCCCTCCGTGGGAGAGGGGCAGAAGACAGCACTGCAGCATTTCCAGACTTTCCTGGAAGCAAATAGTATCATAGAAAAAGCAAGAGGGTGAATTCCTCCTCTCTGGTACACGTGACTGGCTCCAGGTGGCACACCAACTGTAATAGCTGCGCTGGCCACCACACCTGGGCCTCTTTTGAGAGCACAAAGTGGCCATGGGATGAGAGAGCCAACAAGGTTCAGAGAAAGTAGTTATTAATTAGACTACTTGGTTTTGGTTGGTAGTACGTATTACTGTGCAGGAATCTCACACACCAATGGATACTGGCTCCTGTCACGTGACAAGTACATCTGCCTTGGAACCCTGAACCAGGGCATGTCACTGTAGCCAAGAAATAAAGTTGCAGTTTCTTGCCAGCACTCCAATATGTCAGGCCTTCATTACAATTAACACAACTATTTTCCTCTCCATGTGATCAAATGACTGGCTGCAACAGCTAGAGGGGTGTTTGGATGGGAGTGCAGGTAAAGGGAGAAAGAGATACACGTGATGAAAGTCATCTCAATAGAGTCTTAGGCCCGTCCTCCCTCCCTGTGCCCCCCCCCCCAAAAATTAGACCAGAAGTTGGCAAGGAGAGGTACAACCAAATGAAACAAAAAGGAAGCAGATTTCAGGACTAAATGTCCCACATTAGCATGGAGTCACTTGAAGAAAATGGCCAAGGTAGTGACCTGTGATCACCTCAAGTCTCCATCGTGGAGCCTTTTCATCAGCCATTCAGTATAGACAGTGATCTTCCACAACAAAAGCGGCCAATCTGGGGGATTGCTGGCTATTTGCAAGGTTATTTTTGTGGCGAGTCCCACCAGAGCAAGTAGTGAGACAGGTTCTGTTCCTCCAGGACAGATGCTTAAGGTCTCTCTTTCATGTGGCTTGGAGATTTCTGCTGAGTGCGTGGCCTGGGCCGGGGAGGCCCTGCCTGGTACTGAGTTTGAGACTGTGGAGGGGGTCTCTGCTGCTGGCGTGGCTGCTTCTGGGGAGCGTGAACTGGAGGTTTAGGAAGCTCCCGATATTTCGATTCGTCGCTCGATTGTCGAATGTGTATCGGTGTCTCTTCATCTGCAATTACAAAACCGCCAAGTAATTAGTTAATGACTCGGCATGAGTCATGTCACCAGTACAAACAAACAGAAGATAATCCTGGCTGGTAACAGAAGGAGTCTGCAGGGCAGCCTGTGCCTCTCTTAGTTAAAGAAGCTGCTGAGATCTTTCCTAGGCCCTGTTCCTCTAATGGGGTCCAAGGCTTTCACTGCGCTGGGGGTCAGTGTTAGCAGAGGTATCACGCAGAAGCTAGTGCCTTTTAGTTATCTGGAGATTTTGGAAATAAACAGAATGGCAATAAGAAAAAATTAGTCAAAAAGGAATGTGGCATTGTTATTTATGGTGAACAGCTACTACCTAGGGAAAGAGAGACTTGGACACTGGCAAACAGTCAAATGCTTGCATAGTTTAAGTGGTCTGGCGTTGGGAACCCTGTTTATTTCAATGAAATAATAAAACCTGGATTTGCCATCTACTCCCAGACTACCCCATGGCCCGTCTGTTGGCTGGTAGGGGTCACGGTGCTCATAGGGTATTTCAGTCAGTTCCATCCCCGCCTATCTCAGGGAGCCTGCTCTGCTGGGCAGCTACAACAGCTTACCAGCCAGGAGGAAATATGCCAAGGAGACTGAACTCCTCTCTCATCTTTGGAGGTGATCCATTGAATACAGGGTTGAGACACATCAGTAGGGGGCAGCGTAAAAAACGTTTGCCCTGCCTCTGTCTGTGCTGTAACTGTTCTGCAGGTAGATAGAGGACTCCACGCACAAGGGCAATCAGTCTTGTACCTTTTAACCATATTAAATGTACTTCACATAGATGAAGTAGACTTTATCCACTATTACCATTTCTGAAAGGCCAGTGCCCATGTATGATTTGATTTAGGGACTGAGTGACCCACTGGCTCAGAGACTGAACTGATCCTAAACTTCTATTGAACCATTCCAAAGGACGTAGTTACCTTGATGGTAACGAACACAGAGTTAAATGCACCTTAACACTCAGTGAGGACAGGGACAAGCCAGTTTTAACATTGTGTCAATGGATCATAGGTAAATCTTTGGTTCCAGTAAGGTTACCCATGACCAGCTGGCAAGATGTTAAACACAACAGTCCCTGTCTACACTAACTGCTAGGGCACAAAGTTAATGAAATATGGTAACTAAAACAAACTGTTTGCCAGAAGCTGGAAGTGGGCAACAGGGGATGGATCACTTATAGATTCTAGGACTGGAAGGGACCTCGAGAGGTCATCGAGTCCAGTCCCCTGCCCGCATGGCAGGACCAAATACTGTCTAGACCATCCCTGATAGACATTTATCTAACCTACTCTTAAATATCTCCAGAGATGGAGATTCCACAACCTCCCTAGGCAATTTATTCTAGTGTTTAACTGCCCTGACAGTTAGGAACTTTTTCCTAATGTCCAACCTAGACCTCCCTTGCTGCAGTTTAAACCCATTGCTTCTTGTTCTATCCTTAGAGGCTAAGATGAACAGGTTTTCTGCCTCCTCCTTATGACACCCTTTTAAATACCTGAAAACTGCTATCATGTCCCCTCTCAGTCTTCTCTTTTCCAAACTAAACAAACCCAATTCTTTCTAGCCTTTCTTCATAGGTCATGTTCTCAAGACCTTTAATCATTCTTGTTGCTCTTCTCTGGACCCTTTCCAATTTCCAAATTAACTCAAAGCATTTCTCCAATTTGTCCTCCAAAGCAGTTGCAATCCCTCCCAGTTTGGCAT